GCTCGTGTGCTCTGCGCCGCGCTTGTATCGGCCGGGCTTAACATTGACAGGTTTAAATGTTGCTTATTCCCACGTTAGCTATCTGTGGGTTAAGAAATTGGACTTGACGTCATCTCGCAGATTCTTTCAAATATGAATTTGACCAGGTAACTTTCCTTTGAAGATGATTTTAGCGATGATGATGATGAACCTGCGACATTTATCTAAAAACATCCTAGTTTTGGCTTTCGTTTGCTCTACCGTTCCACTGAAATAACACACACTAGGTATTTCTTTCTGTCGAAACACAAAACACAATCTTGCCTCGCCACCCGTTGCGATTGAGTGGGGATTTAGCTCGCTCCGCTCGGCCACGAGCGCCGCGCTTGTATCGGCCGGGCTTAGCATTGACAGGTTTAAATGTTGCTTATTCCCATGCTGGCTATCTGTGGGTTATGTAATTTGACTTGATGTCATCTCGCAGATGCTTACAAATATGAATTTGACTAACATTCTTTTGAAGATGACTCTATAAACCTTGATCTTAACCAGGGCATCTATTAAAAACATTCCAGTTTTGACTTTAGTTTGCTCTACTGTTCCTCTAAAATAAGACACACTAGGTATTTCTTTCTGTCGAAACACAAAACACAATCTTGCCTCGCCACCCGTTGAGATTGAGTGGGGATTTTGCTCGCTCCGCTCGAGCGCTCGTGTGCTCTGCGCCGCGCTTGTATCGGCCGGGCTTAGCATTGACAGGCTTAAATGTTGCTTATTCCTACGCTGGCTATCTGTGGGTTAAGTAATTGGACTTGATGTCATCTCGCAGATGCTTACAAATATGAATTTGACTAACTAACTTTCCTTTGAAGATGATTGTAAAGATGATGATGATGAACCTGCGACATTTATCTAAAAACATCCTAGTTTTGGCTTTCGTTTGCTCTACCGTTCCACTGAAATAACACACACTAGGTATTTCTTTCTGTCGAAACACAAAACACAGTCTTGCCTCGCCACCCGTTGCGATTGAGTGGGGATTTAGCTCGCTCCGCTCGGCCACGAGCGCCGCGCTTGTATCGGCCGGGCTTAGCATTGACAGGTTGACATGTTGCTTATTCCTACGCTGGCTATCTGTGGGTTATGTAATTTGACTTGACTTGACGTCATCTCGCAGATGCTTACAAATATGAATTTGACTAATATTCTTTTGAAGATGACTCGATTAACCTTGGTCTTATCCAGGACACCTATTAAAAACGACCTAGTTTTAGAGACTTTAATAAGTAAGACACACTAGGTATTCTTTCTGTCGAAACACAAAACACAATCTTGCCTCGCCACCCGTTGCGATTGAGTGGAGATTTCGCTCGCTCCGCTCAAGCGCTCGTGTGCTCTGCGCCGCGCTTGTATCGGCCGGGCTTAGCATTGACAGGTTTAAATGTTGCTTATTCCCATGCTGGCTATCTGTGGGTTAAGTAATTGGACTTGACGTCATCTCGCAGATGCTTGCAAATATGAATTTGGCTAACTTTCCTTTAAAGATGATTGTAAAGATGATGATGATGAACCTACGATATTTAACTAAAAACATCCTAGTTTTGACTTTAGTTTACTCTACTGTTCCACTGAAATAAGTAAGACACACTAGGTATTTCTTTCTGTCGAAACACAAAACACAATCTTGCCTCGCCACCCGTTGCGATTGAGTGGGGATTTAGCTCGCTCCACTCGAGCGCTCGTGTGGTCTGCGCCGCGCTTGTATCGGCCGGGCTTAGCATTGACAGGTTTAAATGTTGCTTATTCGCTCGCTGGCTCTGTGGCTGCGGATTTCAGTATTGGCGTTGATATTATCTAGCGTTTGAAATGCACTATAATGATGTTGTTTATTGTGAATTTCTACAATTGACCGGTGACCTCTTGCATTGAACTGAACTTACCTACTTAGGCTGGGTTGCACCATCTTACTTTGACTTTAACAAAGTAAAAAATCAGTTAAAGTCTCTACGAAAAGCACCGGTTATCGTTATAGTTACCATTAAAGTGAGGTATTGCAACAACCCAGCCTTAGACTTTATTGAATCAAAAAATACAATATTTTTCTTAAAAGATTTTGCTTAAATGATTAATCTAGCTACTTTTCAAATCCAGCAAAATTAAACAAGTTAAACTTATTTTGTAACCAAACAAATCTAAAACCATTTATGGGAGCGGCTGCAAATATTGATCTACTTTATTACAATATCCAAATAAAGCCATGGCAGGCAGCTGGTTATTAATATTCTTAACAATCCAAAGGGAGGTCCCACTAACGAGATCATGGCCCCCAGCCACAGTTCATGAATTAGGGTGCCATACTTCAATGCGTTCATTAGTCCAATTTGCTTCAATTCCGCGCTCTTCAGAGTTGTTTTCTGCGAAAGAGGGAAATACTACAAGGATATTAATATTATGGGATCTAAAGGTTAATGTTAAGAGCCATAAAGGTCAAATAAAAGGTTATAAAATAATCAAAGTCATAAAGGGCAATTAGATTTTGCCTTGAAAGCCTTGAAAACAGCGCTTTTATACGTCCCGTTTAAACCCTACCACAGCTTCGGCAGAATAATGTGGGACAGTGCTGAAAAGAAACAGCGCAAGAAAGTCAGTCACTATAATGTCAGCCTCTTCTTCAAAGGTCAAGTAATCGAGGTATAAATTAAACTAAATCCTAAAAACAAGATGCGATGCGTTCCCTGCTTATTTGGGATGAACGCGCTAATCTCAGGAACTGCTAGTCCGATTTCGAAAATCATTTTTGTGAAAGAAAGACCTGGCAGATATATTTTTCAAACTATTTTCTCTTGTACGAAGTTGCAGGCACAGCCAGTTTATTATATTAGTAGGATATAGATAACACGCGTTTGCACAGAGAACCTGAAAGCATTATAGCAGTACCTACAGAGTATCAAATTACATGTCCGTTCAGATAAAAGAGCGGCGATGCAGCTTAGAGTAAGTACTACGTCCATCAAGCATAGCACATCAGGCTACCCATTTCTGTTGCAAAAATAGCCTCTATTACCTCTAGATAAGAGACCACAGTGCCAATCTTGATATGGTGTTTGTACCTAGAAAGGGCCGCGGAAATGTGTGTGTCATTACCGCCTAGGCAGATCTGGGCTAATAAGCTTTCAGTCTCTCACTTTCTTTCTTTTTGTGCCTAAGATTAGAAGGGATATTTTAGTGATCACTCGCGTCTTTTATTCTTTGCTAACGTCGTTTATCGATTTCTATTCGATAAAGTAGTTCAGTCGATATTACCTATAAATCAGTCTAGAAAAAATTGCAAAATGGATTTTTTTATCTACGTAAGGCACCAGAAACACTGTACTGTACCTATCTGTTCATCTATGCATGTGTGCAAATCGTGGGTTGAATCACGAAAAGGTGTAACTGATTTTTATCAATTTTACAGGAGCGATGTTTAAAGATAATTTGAAGTATGGAAAAATGTATTTCGGGCCCTTTTTACCTTCAATACTGGCTTCCTGAAAAATAATTCAGGTACGATCTTTTGTGAGATTATAAAATGTATGTTTTTTAATAGCATTCTGTGTTTAACTCAATATCGCCATTTTGTTAGATACGCCTCTCGTGATTCGACCCACAAAATGTACATGTACTCGATCAACTAATTCTTTTTTTTTCAGTTGCAGGATAAAATAGCTAGAAATTTGAAGATCAATATAGAGTTGTAGGCTTTTTGTTTTTTCGTCCACGTGATTTTTTCAGATCGACGTGGATGTCCGAAAAAATGTATTTTACCTCACCCCAAAAACGCATTAAGCATCAGACCGTCAGTGAACGCTCTTAAGCTGTAAATCTAAGGTCATGTTCACATTAGTTAATCCAAACGGCACAATACGAAAGCCATCCGAAATCTCACACCGACTCCGCAACATTCTGAATAACTGCTAAAACTAACAGCGTGTACTGCCTCAAGTTCCTCCGCTCCTCAATTAACAATGCAAATGTATCCTGAAGAGGAAGCTGCTCCAAATTTCATACCGTGAATACATATGGTAATTGCGTTTTAGCACAAGAAAAACCTTTCCGTGGTAAGTAACTCGTTAAGACAAGCTTTAGTTCGTTAGTGTTTTGTCTTGGTAGTATAGGGTTGCGGGGAGTTAGAGAGTTGGAGTAAGTCTCGCATACAGATGCATGGTTAGGATTTGGTGATAGTTTTGACAAGTTATAAGTCTATGGCTCTAGCTAACCCATCGTTTTGTTTATGCTATTACAATTCCATGTCCGTATGCTTTAGTCAATTGACCTTAACTTCGAACTCCTCCTATGTTCTTCTGGTGAATTTCGTTGCGGGTCCAATGACAGTTTAACTTTCCTGGGTTATTATTGGCGCTGACCTTCACTGGTTGGGTTATTATTGGCGCTCAAGCTAAGATCCTGGCTACCTATACAGGAGTAGCAGAGGTGGGAATAGTATTCAGTCGATTGACTGAACATCTGTACCATAGTAGAATCAAAATCTGTACCTACTACTCTTTCGACACTAAGGTGACACAAGATAGTGTAGACGATTTTTAAGATCTATTGGATACTTAATATTTGTCATAGCCACATTAATAAACAACATTATTCTATTTATTTATTTTTTATAAGTATAAAACGTAATATTTTACCAATAATGATCACTTAATATCCAGCAAACATTACGTGTTTATATTTATCAGTTTCAAAAACATGACAACAAAATTGATGTATTCGATTTGCCTTCAAAAATTTAAAACTATTTAAATCAAAATATTAATGTTTGCGTTTTATTCATGTATCACTGGAAATTCATTTAGTTTATCACAAACTCTTGACAATGGGTGACAAAATATCGTTCCGATTTCACAGGTCGAGCACAATTTTATGAATTGTTTTATCGGAGAACGTAATATATTCGATATGCGCAAATAACTATTGGCATGAGTTCGGATGAAACGTTCGCTTTTATTGCCCCAAGTTTTCTGAGAATGGAATTGGGTTTTCTGTGTTTACTATATCTTCAATGTTTAGGAGTGCTGGGGAGGAAGGAGTACAACACCCAATCTGAACCAACCGAAGCTGTTAGTACTATACACACTCCGACCGGTATGTAATTTGATTAAAATTATTACAATCTCAAATAAACTGATAAAATGTCCTTCCCTGTGTATTACTAACTAGCTTTCCGCCCGCGGCTTCGCCCGCGTTGAATTTTGTCTGTCACAGAAAAACAATATCGCGCGCATATTTGCTCACCGTTTAGACCTACCCTGGACTACGACAAACATTTTAAAACCAAAATCAGCTCAATCGGCCCAGCCGTTCTCGAGTTTTAATCAGACTAACGAACATCAATTCATTTTTATTTATTAGATAAATTACCAAAAATATTTAACATTTATCCGTACCTATTTCTGACTAAGTATTCCCAGTTGCCCCCTATAGCACTGTTGGGTGAGAAAATTTCCCAACTGGTTCAACGATTCGAGCCAGAGGGCAACAACTGGTTTTTTTTTCGTACTGTCACGCGTGACACTATAGGGGTGACTATTATTATATCTTAAATATTTTCTAATGCGACTTTAGTTCGTTTACGGATCTCCTCATTTCTGATTAGATCTCGTAAAGAGACACCGAGCATAGCACGCTGTGCAATTTTGAGCTTCTGTATAAATCTGCATCTGCTTGGGGGCCCAAGTTCAGCAGTGGACATCCTATGGTTGAGATGATGATGATGATGATGATCTTTTCTAACAAGTAAAATGACATCTTTAGTCAAACAGTACAAACTTCGATTCAGCTTGATACACCTTATTATTATGTCCGAAAACATCGTTATTATCGTTGTCTTTTTTTTCCCAGTCCTCCTAAAGACATGCCTCCTCAAGCCCGACCAAGGCCCGTGCCGGGGTAATATCCGAATGTACCACTATGACCCTGAGAAGAAGAACTGCTCCACCTTCAGATGGGGCGGCTGTCAGGGCAACGGGAACAGATTCGACAAACGCAGCCAATGTATCAACACTTGCTTGAGCAACGCCAACATGACTAAAGATAGTGAGTTGTATTGATTATTTTTTTAAATTACATGCATGTGAAAAGTGTTTCATAATTTACCTAGGACTTGTGTGTACACACATCGTAAAAAAAAAGAAAATTACTCTAACTTGTGAGAGTACCTAACTTTTTTTTTGTTAAAAACAGGATAAATATTTGTTACGGTTAAGTTCGACACTATTTTGAAAAACAAATTAATAACGTTTTTGTACAAAAATAAAGAATTATTAATTCATCATCCTTGAAACGGCTAAACACATTTTGACGAAACTTTATCTTTCGGCAGATTTATTATTATAATGGACATGTAACTTTAGTTATTAAATTTAAGAAAAAGAAGACAGGTCTTGTGCATCATCTTAGGATAAAGTACAATTTAGACAAGGCCATAGAAAGAAACTATGTGATTGAAAATAAAATTATTTGTTAAAAATAAGTTTTTATGTGATATTGTAGTGTTACATTTTCAAAACAGAAATACAATAAATAAACTACGCGTTCAGTTTACAGGCCAAGATACTGCTCTTTGACTTTTGACTACGGGTTCTGCTTCGGTGCTGTAAAGAGATATTACTTTGATAGATTTTGGAAGGTCTGTAAGGAAGCACTTTACTCTGGATGTGGTGGGAACAAGAACAATTTTTATGATTTTGATCAGGTAATTAACATTTGAGTTTTAAATTTTTTTTGACTTACACATTTTATGCATGTTTTAAAACTACAGAGAACTGAGTAGTACGCAGAACTGACGGCCGATGGGACAGCAAGGTTCTGGAGTGCAGGCCACGTTCCGGCGTTCCGGAAAACGCAGTGACACAAGGCGAACTGAAAACCTCATAAAGGTCGTAGGAATTTAAGGCGCTGGATGCAGGCCGCTATCAACCGGGCGATGTGAAAATCATTGAGGGAGGCCTATGTTCAATAGTAGACGTCCAGTGGCTATATGATGATTATGATGAGAAAACTGAGTTGCGCAATTGCATTCCAAAGGTTAACTATACCTTGTTTTGTCACTGAAATATTTTATTATTACAAAAATAACATAAATTAATTTTCGTAAGTCAATGCAAACGAGCCAATTTAAACTGTTTAGTTCCCTTATTATTTGTTGGAAATCAAACTTATGACAGTCTTTTAGGTCCGGTTTCCACTAAAGCGTAGACTCAAAGAGAATTGTTTGAATTTCTAAGCGAAGCTAATAAGCAGGGGGTGATGTGGAAATAACGAAATCTGATTGCTTTTTCAAACACGTCTTCTCTCTTCTCCGCTTTGGTGTAGGTCGGGCCTTAAGACCATTCCTTTGAAGGTAATTTACAACACTATTTTAAGGGTCCCAACATTGATGAAACAAACGCTGTCCGTAACAGAGTATTACACTTGAAAAGTTGACGGGTTCATCCTGTGTCTAAGTAGCTCAAAATCAAAAAATCAAAAGTATTTATTCAGTTTAGACCACAAGTGGCACTTATGAACGTCAAAATATTATTATAGAAAATAATAAAAAAAGAAAAGGTAGCCCTTATGGGGCACTTTACATGTCTCCTTATCTTTTGGGCCCTACCAGCGCTTCGAGACAAACATATGGCAAGTGCTCAGTTGGAAGAGCAGTCGCCCTGCAAGAGGAAGGTCGTGGGTTCAATTCCCGCCTTAGGCAGTAGAAAAAATCGTTCAAATTGTTTATAATTTTCAAATTATTTTTAGTGCGACTCAATATGCCGGCTAGGCAAACCACGCAGTGAGTATTTGAGAACGCCAAAGAAGAAAGAATCTGCTGATGGCGTGAAGAAATACCTGTACATCAACCCGCCTCAAGCCACGAAGAAGCGAGGACTCCTCCAGATCACAACCAAAACCACCACAACTACCACTAAACCGAGTACTAAAAGTACTAGGAAGACAACAGCACCTTTAAAGATGTGTATATCAGGGTCAGGAGGAGAAACTCACTGTTTTGAAGAATAAATCAATTACTGAACCAGTCACCACGTTTCTAAAGCATTATTTCGCAAACATCCACGAATTCACTCACGTAAAATCTGAAATATCTCAGAGATCAAATTTTCAGCGTGCCACTAAAGTGCCTCTGAACTGTCAAATAGTTGCAAAAAATGGTTCTGTTTGACGTGACGGCGACGGTGTCATGCACATCTTTTTATCACAGTTGCTGCTAATGACATCTCGCTCTCTCAGTTATTGTTGCTCTATTCCGCTAGGTAAGTATATTAACTTTATAGTTCAAACTCAGTCACTTCTAATTTCTAACTATTATTAATAAAAAATCAACCAATCAAAGGTTTTTATGTTTCAAATATAGGCATTAGTCACGCAGCCGCCTTTTAAAGGATCCTTGAAATACCATCAGCTTTTAAAAAGAATTCTTGCTTTCAAAAACTGTCGAAGGTCAAACTTCCAGCAGAGTCTGTCGAGCTTTGTGAATAACGAACTGTAATTGTACTAATAACGCTTTGAGAGCTCTTTGTGTAGTGCTGGCTACTAATTACTTTGATTCTGTTGTACATTTTAGACGGAATAGGTTTTGATGTAACGTTTACTGTCAATAGATTCAACGAAGTGTATTAACGTGGTAATGGTCTCTAAGATGCGACTAAATAGTTCTGAGAAACCTAATACGTTAATATGCTTGTGTATTAATTATAATAAAACATTTATTACATCTTCACACGAGATATTATTATATATTTAACAGCTAGCAATGGTTCAAAAACGGTTTAAGGAGTCCAAAGAGTAGTATCTGATGCAAATAAAAAATAAATACATAGTAATTGGATCAGAAAAGTTCGCTAGTGGTAACCACGCGTCCGAAAGCGTAGTATAGGCAGGCCTCCCACTCGGTGCACTGACGATCTGTTGATGGTCACGGGAATACCTGGATGCGGGCAGCGCTGGACTATATTGATATCCGTGGGGCTTTGTCCAGCAGTGGGCGGTATTCCAAGTATAAATACATATATTAAGCTTCTATCTACATTCTACATCTATCATTTCAAATCAAACTCTACTACGTACTTACTAAATATCTTTTTCCCTTACCTAATAATAAAACAACTTGATTAAAAATACGTAAATAATCAATTTATTATAACTCCAACACAACCAATTTGCTAATATACATTCTAACTATAGATCACAAACACCGTAACATATTAAATTACGTCGAAGAATATTGTTATTCTTTACAGCGCTTTAAAAACGTAATACCTTACTTAGGCCTAGTTTTTTGATTCGTAGTTAAAATAACCAATAGTCAAATTTGACAGATGTCAAATGACAAGTGGTTAAATATCAGAGAAAAATGTTTTTTGAACAATGGTTAGCTTGACTTTTAGTACATTTTTTAACTATTAGTTAACATTTTGTTAATATTTAACCATTAGTAGCAAAATTTAACAATTTGTTATTTTAACTACGAATCAAAAAACTGGGTTGTCGTTGAATTGAAAAACAATTCAATGAGGGCTATCGTTTTTATACTTAACTGGTGATTGACATGACCCTACTCTACAGTGGCGCCACCATGGTGAGTTTCAGCGCTCATTAAAGAATATGCATCGATTTTAAAAGTTAATAAATTATAATTATAAATAAACACTTTAGTTAAATCATAGAATTAAAAAAAAAACTAGTATTGTAATCAGACTGGAAACAAAAAAGTTACAAGTGTTTAAACTTTGTATGAAAATAGCTGGGCGTGACGTCAAATGTCACGCGCCCATAGTAACTTGTATGGGACTCTGCGTGTCGTTTTAACATGACATCATTGGTCATGAGATCTCTAACGTCTATATCTTAGGTATCTTTTGAAATTTTTGTTAAATAAAAGCATTGATTGATTGGATAATGGCTACTGAAATGTGAGAAATAAAAAAACCTTGCATATTCGCTATTGGCGCCACTGTCTTCGCCACTAGCAAGTGACAGTGACTTTCCTCTACAGTGGCGCCAACTGATGAGCGCTTAAACGATAGCCCTCATTCACGACACACGCCAAGTCAAGATGCAACTTTATTAGTCTTTTATAAATAAATTGCTCAATATTAATTTATTTTAAAGCTATTTTAAATCAAACTACAGCTACTCCTTGATGTTCCATGCGCATTTACGATTTGTACCGTCACCCAAATGTGTGCATTCCAATCACTAATAAATATTTTATCACATGTTTCGTTTACTTATTAATTCCGCAACTCGTTGGTGTATTGCTTCACAACTGCAACAAAAAAGTTATGATTATAACCTGTAACTTTTTGGAACCTCCATTTTGTGCGTTTTTGACGCCCTCTGCCCCATCTAAGGGACATAGGACCATAAGTCAAGTAAGTCATTTTGTGCGTTTGTTCCTCTCTACTATGTACTAGGTTTTCTCGGTTAACTCAGTTAAATACTTGACATATAATTTAGAAATCAAGCCAGAACCTTCTTTATTTCTTTCTTACAGCGGTAAAGGAAGCTCTGTGGATTTTAGACTCAAGAGTGGGATTCTATCATACCATAGGTCATTTCCAACAAATATTTCTTCCACAGCAACTGCCTACAGCAGTTAACAAAATATTACGGTAGCTGGTAAAGACCTCAGATATTACAACTCGTATGATATTAAGGATGACTTGGTCCCACTTGGTAACTCGTCTCTATAATTCGAAAATAGCACAAATCCTGTGCCAAAAACAAAAACAAGAAGAAGAAGATATAGAGGATACAGAAATGTTAAAGGATAACTTACTGTCCATGACTAATAGTGTCCGTCAAATTCATGATGTACGGAGGGCAGGCTTTGGTGTTCACGAATCTAGAGGTGAAGAGGAGACCCTGGCAGGTGCAGTATAGCATCTCTGGCAGAGGAATGTTGTCAGGTATAACCTTCTTCTCGTAGAGAATCGTTGAGTATAACTGGAATATAAGGAAGGTTTAGCAGTTAGTCATAGTCTTTACGTGGTTAGAATTTATACTTTTATTCATTTGGAAAATCAATAGCTTGGTTTAGTAAACATGTTACAATACGACTACAAATACTAAATACAGGATACACAGACTATCTTACAGAATTCCTAATGCAAAGTCAGCAGGAACAGCAAGGTTACTAAAGTTACCATAAGTATTCCTACACTGTTACTTGGAAATATCAAAGGTAATAAAAATAGTTCCCTCTATTAATCCGATCAGAAGACGAACTTTGGGATCAATACATTCTCAAACATTCAACTTGCCACCACAATATCGGAATGCCTTTTAAGCGTTCTAAATCTTGCAATTACTTTTTGCGTCATGTCCATAAACTTCTACATACTTGATTTTTGCAAATCCAGCGTACCATACAAACCACTACAAAAGAGTATATTTACCTTCATAGCCCCAGTAAGTGAAGCTATAGCGACTCCTAGGCTTGGGCTGAACACCATTGAAAGCCCTGCCAGGTAACCGGCTGGTAGCGCGAACAGTTCTGAATCGTATCCTTTCTTCCGACACAAGAAGCACAGGACAGCCTGGGAAGAAAATAATTACATGCTGAATACACAAAGGTAGCAGGAACGCGCTGGACGCAGGCCGCTACCAACCGGGTAACATGGATAGCATTGGGGGAGGCCTATGTTCAGCAGTGGACGTCCTTCTATGTAGTACTTTTATGTACTTTTAAGTACTATAGAAACACACATTTTTGTTGAAGGTTATATTATTTGGGTAACAACAGAATACGTCACTGGAACTTAGGTCCGTTTTCCACTTTTCAAATTCAAATTCAGAATTCAAACAGTTTATTCAGTACATAGGCCCTTTCCAGGGCACTTATACACGTCCCAAATATAGCTTGCCCTACCGCCACTTCGGGACATCATAATGGGCTGGTGCTTTATCCTTATCAGCCTCTTTTTCAATCTAAAATAAAAATTAAAATGGTGACCTGAGATGTGCGGAGAAAAGTGGAATAGAGACTTAAGTTATTTCTACTAAGATGGTACGGTAAAGAGACGTGTAAAATTATATCTGAGTATTGCTTATAAGTATAACGCCCATATTTTACTATGAGGTCTTACAGTGCGCGTGGACACACAGGGTGATACATGAACCAATCACAGAGCTCTATGGATTTACTGCTTCACTTAAGCAAGCATTGTTGGTGAATACGGGCGTATCACTTCTCGTCTTCTTTCGTCTTGTCTCGATCTTGGTGGAAAACGGTCCTTAAGCCAGCTTTCTCTGACAGGAATGAAAAGAATACGAAAATTAATAGTTTATTTAGCTTTAATGGAAGCCCTTTAGAGTTGTGACTTCCAAATTATGATATGATCTCGGGGAGACTTTAGCACCATCAATGGTTTTATCATAAAAAACTTGCTAAAATGTACGTACTAAATCAATTTAATAGTAACTATAGAATCGTACTCTGTAAATACCGATATAACTGCCGAAGAATAGAGCCATCTTGAAGTGTCTTCCTCTCAGGGAGGATAGCGCTCGTAGAGGCGTTTTGATCCTGGGCAGGATTAACTTAGCCAGGCTGATGGCTAGACCGACGGCGAAATAGGTTCCGTACCCCTGGAAATGAAATCAATATAACGTAAAGAAAAATATTCATACGATTCAACATAGGTAATTAATTAAAAAGTCAAATTGAACTGACTAACAACCTACAAGTGACATCATAAGTTCTAACACAATTTAATATATTTTACATTTAATTAGTTTAAGTAAAATGGAAAGTTCTTCACCTTTAGAATGTGTTTCTGGCAGGGTCCCTTGTGCGGACACGGCTTCTTTGGGTTTTCTGGATTCCGATTTACTTTTTCCGCGTTGTAAATCCTGTGTTAAAGGAAATATTAAAGGCATTGAGAGTAAGGTTTTCTCTTTAGATAAGTAAATAATACTTTTACTCGATAAATTAATTTAACAAAAACTTAAAGCACTTAAATAGCAGTATAGATTCATAAGTCTTTTTTTCCAATTAA